TTGTCTGTTCTTTCTTCTGAACTACAGGCCAGGCTAATCCTGGCCTCCCCTGGGAGTCTCTTCATGAGCACAAGGTGACATGGAGTCAGGAGAGGGTTAGAATTGCTGGGTAAGCAGGAAGGCCACTGGGAGTGTGGCAGAGCCGAGATACAGTGCTGCCGTCTGCCTGCTCCCCCACTCCAACCCAGCCTTCCCATGGCCTTCTGTCGTCAGTACATATCACATCAGTCTTTCAAAAGCACATATTTTTAATAGCAAGGATAACATACACTCGCATTAGAATCCAGGAATGTAAAAATGAGGGCCCAGAGGTGACACACAGTCTGTACATCCAACACAAGTCTCAGGAGTTACTATCCTTGAGCCTGTGTCCATGGCTCCTCCTCTTCCCTCAATCCCTGGAGCCCTACTCTGGCTTTGGCTCTCTCCTACTCCCAGTGACCTTCCTGCCCTCTCTCCAACTCATGTAGCCGTGTATTTAACTGGATTCTCTAGTCTCAACTACAGTCTTTTTCTTTTATTTCATTTTCAGTCTCAAATTCTTTATTATATGTCATGCTTGCTCAATGTGAGCTGAACATTTGGTTTTCAAAGTCTCTGAATATTTTCTAGGTTTCTACATGCAAGTGACTATGAAAATACTTGGCATTTGTAAAAACCTGAAACCCTGAACAGGCACTTACATGAAAGGAACATTGCCACCCCTAGATACCGACATTTAAAAAGTTGCTCCAGGACACGGCCATGCAACCTTTGGCCAGTGAAGAAGTAGATTCCTGATCATTTTCTCAGAATGCCATAACAGGGGCTAGGGTTTTAACTCAGGAATGAAGAGCTTACCTAGCACATGCAAGGCCCCGTGTTTGGTCCTCAGCTCCCCCCAAAAAATTAATGTAAAAACTACAGTCTAAATGCCATAATAGTAAAATGAGCTTAAAGAAATATAATTTGGGTTTTTTTTTTTTTTTTGGTTTTTCGAGACAGGGTTTCTCTGTGTAGCTTTGGAGCCTATCCTGGCACTCACTCTGGAGACCAGGCTGGCCTCGAACTCACAGAGATCCACTTGCCTCTGCCTCCCGAGTGCTGGGATTAAAGGCATGCGCCACCAACACCTGGCCTAATTTTTTTTTTGTTTTGTTTTGTTTTTCAAGACATGGTTTCTCTGTGGCTTTGGAGACTGTCCTGGAACTAGCTCTTGTAGACTAGGCTGGTCTCACAGAGATCCATCTGCCTCTGCCTCCCAAATGCTGGGATTAAAGGCATGCACCACCACTGCCCGGCTCAGGGAGACTCTTAAAGTTTGCGTGTTTTTTTTTTTTTTTGAGACATGGTTTCTCTGTGGCTTTGGAGACTGTCCTGGAACTAGCTCTTGTAGACTAGGCTGGTCTCACAGAGATCCTCCTGCCTCTGCCTCCCAAGTGCTGGGATTGAAGGCGTGTGCCACCACTGCCCAGCAGGACTCATAAAGTTAACTGACAAAACTTACACTGAGGTATATTAAGAAATATTGGGGCTGGGTACAATGGCATACACTTTTGATCCCAGCACTCTGGCGGATCTCTGTGAGTTTGAGGCCAGCCTGGTCCACATAGTGAGTTCCAGGCTAGCCAGGGATACATAGTGAGACCATGTCTCACAAAAGGAAAAAAAGAAATATTGGTAAAGGGCCAACAAGATGACCCAGTAGGTGAAGTTACCTGCCACTAAGCCTGATAACTTGAGTGTGATTCTTTGGACCTACCTAATGGCAGAAGAGAACTGAGTCCCTAAAGTCATACTGACCTCCACATGGGTGCTGTGAGTGGCACATGCATGCCCACTATATACATACATATATACACACACACATACACACACATACATACATAAATATACACATTACAGAGTTAAAGAAAAAAGTAATATTAGGGCCAGGCGGTGGTGGTGCATGTCTTTAATCCCAGCACTTGGGAGGCAGAGACAGGTGGATCCCTGTGAGTTTGAGGTCAGCTTGGTCTGTAGAGCGAGTTCCAGGACAGGCTCCAAAAGCTACACAGAGAAACCCTGTTTCAAACAAACAAACAAATTAATATTGGTGCAAAAACCAATGAACGAAGTTAAGTGAAAGTTTCCATCCATACATCCCACAGTTTGTATGTCTGTGGCCAGACCCTGTGCATGTGAATTTGTGACTGTAACCTTTTTTTGAGACACTGAATGAATTAGTATTAACTTAAACTGGGTTTTAAAATATGGAACATTGCAGTGTTACATATCCTCCTTGCACAGGGCCATTCTGATCTTCTCTGAACTCAATTTTAGTATCTGTGCTACTGAAGCAAGCACTAAGTAATTTTCTTAACCTGTAAAGCAAGCTTCAGAAGGCAGGCTGGCCTTTGCCAGACCCCACTCCAGCTCACCAGCCTCCAGCCTGACCCCAGTTCAGCCCGTGGTCCTCTCTGGCTCTTCCCTACCCAGATCTTCCAGGAGCATCCCCTTCATGGCTGCTCAGTCTCCAACGACTCAGAGGCAGACAGCAGCAGTGGCAATATGACTTGGGCAGCAACCATGCTGGTGCCAGACAACAGCAGCACCGTCCTGCCGTCTGGGCAGGAGAGGCTCCGGGGCCAGCCCAACACCGCCTTGCTGTCACTGGTGCTGATGGCCGGCACCTTCTTCATCGCCTTCTTTCTACGCAAATTCAAGAACAGCCGGTTCTTCCCTGGCCGGGTATGTAGGCTTGGACTAGAGTAGCTGAGGGTAGGAAGGGGATAACTTGGAAGTATGGGGGTGTTGCATGGCATAGGAGGCCTCTGAGCATGGCACTTGCCGTCTTAGATCCGGCGGGTAATTGGGGACTTCGGAGTGCCTATCGCGATCCTCATCATGGTGCTTGTGGACTATAGTATTGAGGACACCTACACCCAGGTAAGGCATTGCACGGGTGGCAGAAAGGTGCTGCTGGCCCTGGGCTGTCTCCACCACCTTGGGTCTGGTGTTCCACTTAGTCCCTCTGTGTAACCGCACACTGCCTCCACTTTGCAGAAGCTGAGTGTGCCCAGTGGATTCTCTGTGACAGCCCCACACAAGCGGGGCTGGGTCATCAACCCCCTTGGAGAAAAGAGCCCCTTCCCTGTGTGGATGATGGTGGCCAGTCTGCTGCCTGCTGTTCTGGTGTTCATCCTCATCTTCATGGAGACACAGATCACCACGTGAGCCATCCTAGCTAAGGGGCCAGAGTCCCCAGCCAGCTCAGGGTACAGTATAGGATCTGTCGCTATGGGACAGTGACCTCAGGGGACCCTGAACACTAGGCTCACCAGCTTCTTCCACAGACAACAGACATGTCACTGATGTTAGCTGGGGTGGGACAGGGCACAGGCATTGAAAGCTAGCCTAGTAGGGCTTGCAAGGAAGAACCCTGCAAGACACGGGCTAAGGACACACGTCCAGTTCTGTGATGGGGGCCTAGTCCCAGTGGGATGGACAGAGATCACCAGAAGCAGTTGGGATATGTTGGAATAATATGGTGTCTCCCATGTTGGGGTGCCCTAGGGTTCATAGCGCCTCTCCTCTCCCAGGCTGATCATCTCCAAGAAAGAGCGGATGCTGCAGAAAGGCTCTGGTTTCCACCTGGACCTGCTGCTCATTGTAGCCATGGGTGGTATCTGTGCCCTCTTTGGCCTTCCTTGGTTGGCTGCTGCCACTGTCCGCTCTGTCACTCATGCCAATGCCCTCACTGTCATGAGCAAGGCTGTGGCACCTGGGGACAAACCCAAGATTCAAGAGGTCAAGGAACAGCGTGTGACAGGGCTGCTGGTGGCCCTGCTTGTGGGTATGCTGCCCTTACCCTGAGCCTCACCTTCCCTGTAGGTCCCCAGGTTCATTGGAGGGAATCAGCTGTTTCTTACCCTTTTCCAGGCCTCTCCATGGTCATTGGAGACCTACTACGACAAATCCCCCTGGCTGTACTGTTTGGCATTTTCTTATACATGGGAGTTACTTCCCTTAATGGAATCCAATTCTACGAGCGGTTGCACCTGCTGCTCATGCCACCCAAACACCACCCAGATGTTACCTATGTCAAGAAGGTAAGTTCCTAGCGGGGCAGTGGTGGCGCACGCCTTTAATCCCAGCACTCAGGAGGCAGAGGCAGGCGGATCTCTGTGAATTCAAGGCCAGCCTGGTCTCCAGAGCGAGTGCCAGGATAGGCTCCAAAGCCACACAGAGAAACCCTGTCTTGAAAACAAACAAAAAAGTAAGTTCCTGCACTGAAGGGGTGCAGGACTCCAGCTTGGCCAGACCATACGCCTCCTCCCTGTACAGAGCTCTAGAAATCCCTGTGGTATAGTCCATCTCCCAAGGGAGAGGAAGGAGGGCCTATGTCCTTCTGTCTGTCTGGGATGTGTGTCCAGGCTTCTCCTCCTCTGCCGCAGGTTCGGACCATACGGATGCACCTGTTCACCGCCTTGCAGTTGCTCTGCCTGGCCCTACTCTGGGCAGTCATGTCCACAGCCGCCTCCCTGGCCTTCCCCTTCATCCTCATCCTCACAGTGCCTCTGCGCATGGTGGTACTTACCCGCATCTTCACCGAGCGAGAAATGAAATGTGTAAGCACCCCTGCTCCCCTCCCCTCCCCTCCCCCCCTCCACTCACTCCTCTCTTCCATGATTTTATAAAGGCCAACCCTCCATTCCTCTCGCAGCTGGATGCTAATGAGGCAGAGCCAGTGTTTGATGAGCGCGAAGGTGTGGATGAGTACAACGAGATGCCCATGCCAGTGTAGCTGCTGTCCAGAGGCGTAGCAGTGGGACTAATGGGTAGGGAATGGGGTTGGGGCTGGGGCTCCCCTCCTGCCCCTCCTCATTTTTATTTAAGTGAATAATTTAAAGCCCCCTTCTCCCCACACTGCAGTAAAGTGCTTTAACCCCAGCCTAGGCCTGCTTCTTTGTTGGTGGGGGTCATGAATGGAAAGAGATAGGGTCCAGCCCTCTTCCTTGTCCCAGAAATGAGACTCGCCATGGGGAAGGAAAGGGATTTTAATGAAAAAACCAAGGGGAGCCAAAGTGCAAATTGTCCCCCTGCCCCCAATAGGGGGTTTATCCTAAGCCCTGTGTGTACTCCCTCACCCTCCCTCAGGTCCCCAGCGGAGGCCTAAGGCCTGAAGTTTCTGCCTCAGGTAGCTCTTGAGCTGGGGCAGGCCTCTCTGAGACTCCAGTTCTTCAAATGGCAGCTGCAGAGAGAAGATAGAAGGTTACAGTGGGCTGTCTAGAAGTACACACACGTGGGTGGGGTGGGACAGGACTTCTCACCGGTAGGAGCTGGTAGCCCATCAAGCCCAGGTGCCGCTCCCTCAGGGCCCGAGAGCCCAGCAGCACCCTGCCATCACGGCAGAAATGCCATCGTTCTCGTAGCATCAACACCACCCTGAGGGGGAGTGGACTTGGCTCAGGTTGCTGTTGGCTCAGTAGCCAAGACTCCCCAGCCGTTTCATTTTTCCTTACCTTTGGGTAGAATCTTGGGTTGTGGGGTTAGAGTCGGCCTGGTCCTGTCGGCAGGACCGTGGCGGGTAGGGCAGGAAAGGGTCTTGTGTCCTCACAGGTAGCACAGCACCAGAACTACCAACACAGAGCAGGAAGTCTGCAGGGCAGACAAGCCTTAGCTTGCTCCAGCTTTAGACTGCCGAGCCACTCACCCCCATCCACACCTCACCTGTGCAGTAGCCTGGAGGTACAGTCAGGTCCCTGCAGTATTTTTCTTCCCCTAGCAGCTGGCGCAGCCCCTCAGCTACTATGTCCTTGTGACTGGGGAGAAAGGACAGTGGTAGAGGGAAGGCTGCTGTACCCCTTTGCTGCCTCGAGGCTATGCTTCTGTTAGGAGACATGGCCCTGGCTCTCCCCCGGCCCACCTGTATTTGCAGCGGGCACGGTCAGTGATGAGGGGCTGCGGGAAGATGGGCACTCGCTGTCTTTGGGGAAGTCGGGGGCCTTGGTACTCTGGGAGTTCAAGCTCCACAGCCGTGTCGAGCAGAGAGAGGTAGCGTCGCACAATCAGAGAAGGAGGGGTGCCTGTGGGGAAGCAGGGACTGGGGGACACTGGGCCGCTGACACCTGGGCATTCTCCTGCCCTGCAGCCCTTGGCCCCACTAGCCATCCTGTCTGCATACCACTGATGTGGTTGATGAAACTGGGGGAGAAGACAAACTCCAAGGCTCTGAAGGGCAAGCACTGCAGCTGGCACAGTGACATCAAAATGTTGACTGTGGCCAAGGGTGCCATCCCTGCTTCCCGAGCCAGGATCCTCTCAAGACAGGGTATAAACTGCTGCTCCAGGGGCAGGTAGTTCAACCTCCCAAAGGGCAGGACCAACTTCTGTACCACCTGCAGAAAAAGGCAGCATCACCCAGCAGGAAACACAGCTTCGGTATCTTTCGATTCCCCTCAAGAAAGGGTCTTTCTCTGTCTCTCAAGCTAACTTGGAACTCCCTCTGCAGACCAAGCTGACCTCAGACTCAGAGATCCACCTGCCTTTGCCAGGATTAAAGGCACGTGCTACCATGACCAGCTCTCTGGCATGCTCGATAGGCACAGCCTCAGGGAGGCCTGGTTCTGTCAGTAGCTTTTCAAGGCAGAATGCCCTTCATACCAGCACACACTCCAAGTTCTGCGACATAAGCAGGCTCTTGGCTACATGGCTCAACATCACAGAAGGGACATAACCGTAGATGTGTAGAAGTGTTTCCGATGGAGCTAGACTGCTAAGTAGCAGCTTTGGAATGTTTCAGGGCCCCAGACATGCTACTCTACTGGACAGCCAGTGAGCACAAACAGGTAGGTATTCGGGGCACCAAACAAAGCTGAGCTGCAGAAGCCAAACAAACTATATAGGGGCCTGGACCTGCCAAGTCACTGAAGATGACTCAGAGAAATGGGAGGGTGGGAGGCCAGCCCACCTTACTGTTGAGCTGGGCTTCCTCAACCACCAGGAAGTGAGCAATGGCTTCTAGAAGCTGGGGTTCCCGCAACCGGTGCCGGGCCAGGTGCTGAGCCAGAAGCACCATTACATGGGGAGTCAGTTCTTCTGGCCTTGCCTCTGTGAAGAACAGCCTGTCATACTGTGCCTTCAAGGAAGACTCCTGTGGGCTGAATTGCACTCCAGCCCAGGTGGTTTATCCCAGTGGCTCCATCTCATCCCTTGCCTCCCTTTTGCTTTTAACCCTCGGCACCTGCCAGGCTTCTGATCAGATGCTGACGAGGGTACCGCAGGAAATGGGGACAGCTCAGGGCCATTTCCAACCTTTGCCCACCATGGGTGGCAGGCTGATGTGGGGAGGGTGGTTTTGGAGGGAGGCGGGACCTTCGCTCCCGCTCCAGGGCACACAGGAGTGGTCCATCTGAGGGAAAGCCTGGGAGGGAGAGGGACAAAGATCATCCTGGTAAGAGAGCTGGGGTGTGCTATCTTGCAAAGTGGAATGAATGCGTCCCCAACTTCCTCTTCTTCGTTTCTTGAGTGGGAAGGTGTACTTATTTCAGTGGAGAGATAGGGTATCATGTGAACATGACGTATCAACAGTATGTGGGGAAAGCCTATACAAAAGTCACCTTGTGCCAAGTATGACAAACTGCTGTGGCTTCCTAGAGCACTGTATTGAAGGAACCTAGTATCCTGCAGAGGTAGAATAATGCTGTTTGACTTGGACATCCACCATGGATAGGAGAGGAGTCGGCAAGTGTGCTTGGGCAGGCGCCATTACTAGGTGGGAATATGAGGGTTAGCAATAGCTTCAGCCCTCTACTCTTTCTTCCTCTACTCTTCCCGAAACACCCACACCTTCTGACACCCTCCTCACCAAGTAAGACTGCAAGGTGTAGACACACATGGATGGTGTGAACATCAAAGGAGGGGCAGTTTCGGATGATGAGCTGGCTCAAGTCCTGCAGTGTGGACTGCTCCACAGGAGAAGGCCTAGGTTGAGACACCAAGAGCTGTCCCAGACGACGAAGTGCCACGGGGTAATGATGCGCTCGCACCTTGGTGGGGTTCTGACTCAGCCATCGCAGCAGCTCCCCGGGGCTCCGTGCCTGTTCCAGAAGCCGCTGAAGGCCTTGCACGGGGCTTCCTCCACACGGCCGGTCCCCCGACTTGCTGGGCCCCAAACAACAGGGCTGTACTGGCGGGACGAGCAGCAGACCAGACAGCCGAGCAGGGGAAGTCTGGGCAGAGAGCAGGATTCGAAGCATGGAGGTGGGTGATGGAGACCCTGAGGGGTGGCCCAGAAAACCGGGTGAGGTTTCCGCCGAGGGGAAACGTGGTACCTAGTCCTTACCTCACTCCCCATCCAAAAGGGCCTTTAGTGAAAAGCCAGTGTGAGTGCTCTAGAACTCTTTCCCACCCTGCTGCTCTTCCCCCATTCCTTGCAAAAGAAATCCGGATTCTTTAAGTGTGCTCGGTGCAGCGCTATGCAGACGTCACACACACACATCTCCTTCGATGCTCCGTGCTCGCTGATGAGGAGTCGCAGGGTCGGCATTACCTCATTTCACAGTGGAGAAACAAGGCCCAGAACGACGAGGAGGTTAAAGCCCGAGGTCAACTCAATTCACAGGGTTAGTGGT